GAGATCCAAAACTAATATAAACTTTCTGCCTGAATTACCAACCAAATGAAATCTGGACCCCTATTAAGTTACCTGTCTCTAACTAACTTGGGTCTTTGTTAATCACTCAAGTATTCCAAAGTGCATGAATTTACATTTTCTTTTGAACCATTAATCATCCTGAAAGTTTTGAACCTTTTTGAAATCAAACATGTGGAGAAGTATTGTTTTTCTAGCATAAGCCAGCCTGGATCTTCTTTTACCATTTACATGGAGAGCAACTCTCTGGTGCTCTTGTGAAGGTACTGCCAATTTTCTTCATCTGGTTTCTTCTTCAGATCTTATCAGATATGATTTTTGTATTTTAATAGAAATGTAATACAATTGAAATTATTTTAAAGGTCTGTTTTAAAATTATTTTTATTTATCCAGTGAGTGATTACTCAGATTCTGGAAAACAATGTTACTAATTTGTATTTTTTTGTTAAAGTAATTTTATGCTTATTCTTCATTGTAACTATATTGTATTGATGAAGTAGTAATGCAATGTTGCATGCAATGCTATATAAGTTATAACATATGTCGAAAGGTTGCCAGTTTGTGTTTTAAATTCTTTTATTAACCATTTAAAAAAATACACTCAGAATTGTTTAATGATGTTTATTTTAAGTGGCTACAATGTACAAACAATTATGTTTAAATTATTGAAATTTAATAAAATTTTCAAAGCAAATTCACTGATTTTATATTAAGGTGATATTGGACTACCTACCTATCCTTTTGTTCTTGCTAAGTATGGAGTGTCCTGTTACTCAAACCAGTGTGCAGTGACAGAGATGTACAGTTGTCACTGCCCAAGGGCAAATTATATGGGCCTGTAAACAGAATCTAAACAAATCCAGTGAATACAGATGGGTTCCACAGGCGCAATTTATAGTTAATTTACAGAAATGAGCAACTTTCAGTGTCAGATACAGTATTAGTTACATATTTGTAACATAGGTAAGATAATTCTGCCAAATCTAATTATTTATTTTTTCATTTTTTGAGTTTAGTCATTACAGTATTGAACTACAGAATTGATTACTGTACATGTCTGAAACTACTATTATTAAGATTTCTGTAGGCCTACAGGTTGTAATGTTGAATCCTTTTAATAATGGACACTATAAGTGATTTGAAGTTAATAATGTTAAAAAGTATGGAAAAGTTACCTTATATTTAAGGTAAATTATCTTTCAACTAATCTGTAAAGATATAAATAATTGCCCAAAAAAATTCCTTTTATAAGCTGGAGGTCAACACCTATTCTGTATATGAATGCCCATCTCCTTGTCAATATTATGTCCAGTATTCATAAATTCTGTTCTATTCAAAAATTAAGAATTTTGCCGTTGGCTTTAGTAGATTCTTTGTTTCCACCAAGGCTGGTCAGTAGAGCAAATAAGTTTTAACTAAAGACAATTTATGCTTTTTATTTATTCAATTGGATTCAAAAGTGGTAGGTGTTTTTGTGACTCTGAAATTTCCTGTTTAATCCCCAGATAATATTTCATTTATTTAATACCTTTTGGCCTTCGTACCTACCCACAGCATAATTATAAGCTATCTCCTCTTTTTTTCAGATTCTGAGACCAAATAACAAAAAGAAAATGTTTAGATTTTTTTCAAAATGTTAATGCTGAAGTTATTCTTTGTTATTTTAATCAAAAAAATGTGTTAACCTGTGTCACAACAACCTAATATTTTTAGTTTGTTACATGATGGTTAGTTACATGTATTGTTCATCACTCCATAAAGCCTTTCATTCAAAACACTGTTAACAGTAAAAAATTAATATTGTGTTTTTGCCCACCAACTTTAGATGGTGCGGAATACAAATTTGATGTGAGCATGACCAACTTGGTGTAGTAATATTATTGTAGTGTTTTTTAAATGACCTGCTGTAACTATATGCAGTTTTTAATCATTAATGTTATGTGATGGCCAGTATTAACCAAAAAGTGTTTTTCTGAATTGGTTGCCAGAAAGTTTAGCTCTAGCAAAAGTTGTTACTGAGATATTTTGATATCTAAATCAATCAAGCAACATATTATTATGAACACATTTGCTATAATTATTATGATAATAATTCTGTAGAAATGTATACAAAATACAAGTTTGCTCAGGGTGATTTTTTTTTTTTTTTTTTTTTTTTGACATTTAGCACAAATTAGCACTGGAATGCAATTTGATTTTGAAACCAACGACATATTTTAGGCCTACACTGCAAACACTAAAATTTTGTGAGAAACATTTTGTTTAGTCTATTGACCCAAGATTTAAAAAATAATGTTCATATTTGTCCTATTTCAAGTTGAAATTTGAATGTGGCCCTTTGGAATCTAGTAGATGCTAACCCTTTATACTGCTTTCCACTGCTGTTGTAAGCCACATTAATTTTATTTTTAAGGATTTAACTACCTAAAAACCAAAATATTTCAATTTTTTGGTCTCAATCATTTTAACTATGGATTAGCTTACACATTTTAATTTTGCTGCCATAATATAAATAATATAAATATTTTCAAAATAATAATAATAATAATATAAAATAGGATACTGCATTCTGCGTTAAAGATCTTAATTAGATACAACCAGGGATATTTTAATCATCCAATACTAAATGTAATATTTCATGTGGCATTGTCACAGTTTATACCTACTCAATTTAAACTGTTCTCAGACCGAAGCAGTCTCTGGAAAATGAGAGACCTCTAGGGTAGGAAATCATAAAAAGTACTATTAATAGGTTTCACCCGCCTAGAGTTGATATTTAATACATTTCACAGGACAATTCATTTAATATACTGAACAGTTGTCATTAATGTAAAAATAAAGTTCCGTATGCTGATTTTGAGGAATAATACTTTCTATTGGACTGTACAGTGTTTAGAATTTGGTGGTGGTTGAAAAGCTCAGAGGACTTGGTTGTGATGCATAAATTGTGACTTTTTTATTCAAACATAAATTCAGTGATTGATGCTTCATTTTTGAGAATACAATATGTTTATTTTGTACATTCTCTTTGTGCATATTCGATGTGTTAATGCATGTTTCATAAACGCAATGGATAGCAGAAAGAAAGTTAGCCATTTTTGTTTGTGATTATTCTACTTGATGGGTCTGTTTCTTGAATAAGTGACTTATAATTCATGCAGGATTTAAGGAAGCCTTTTGTGGTGTTTGATCAGTGTATTGTTCCTTGGGATCTTCCAGAACCCTCTTCAGAAATGACATGTTCAAATTTCTATGCCTGTTTCATAATGTGAATACACTGCTGATAAATGGGATTTGGGGACTGCTATCACCTACAGTTTGCATAATAAGGGATAGCTTTTGTTCAATGTAAACCTATTGAATTTGCCATGTTTTTAATCAATAGATCAAAAAGTAAATTCTCCTTCACAAAATCTGCCTACTTATATGGTGAAAAGACATTGAATTAAATGGTAATTTACTGTACTTAAATTAAAAATTTAAAAAAAAATGGGAATTTAATTCAATTTTATTTATATTACAGTATTAAATTTTAGGTATTTTATTTTCTGAAAATTTTATCAAATTGATATAATAATTTTAAAATTATAATAAAATTGATGTATTTTGTAAAAGTAAATTCTTTAGTAAAACATATTTAGGCTAACATTTTGCATAGGCCTACTTAAGTCCAAATGCCACTTGGTAATGTCACTGCTGCTATTACAGCAATTATATTATTCAAGATGTTAACAATGCAAAATTCTCGTAAAGAAACTGCAAGAGAAAAGATACAATGGTCTTCATCTTTTTATTGAAGCATAATAGATTAATGGTGTCCAAATGAAATGCCTGCAAAGTGATTGAGTAGAATGGAAACTTGGTAAAAGGTCATATGAATATCATATAAACAAAGTGGATCTCTATCAAATTCCATGTGGAGTAATTACTACACTAGCAACTCATGACAGGAAAGAAATTGTTTGCCTCCTTTATTAGTTCTGATTTATGAGTTGTGTGCTGTCATAAAGCGCATAGCAATTTTTCCAGTCAATTGGACATTGGGCATGATCATGATACAGTGCTGTATTCTGGTCACACATCATTTCTCCTCGATAATATAATTTGATGTCTATTTCATTTAGCACAATTCAAATCTGGACAATGTTTAGATTTTCCAGTCACAGCTCTTGATATCCTATCAGGGGATTTTATGGTTCTGAAAATCAATAGGAGACTAAAGGTTTTGTTTTAAGTGAGAAAAATGGATCGTTAATATCAGATTTGTGCTAATAATAAGTGATACCTTTCATAGCATAGTGATTTTGATATCAGATCATTAAAGAGATCAGTGAACCTCTTGTCCATTTAGGGAATATCTAGTAAGTTTATCATATTTATTATAATAAAAGAATTAGCATCAATGTTATTGATATGATAAAATTTAATATATATTATATGTTTGTTCAAAGAAAAAATATGCTTTTATATTTTGTTGTCTCACTGATCTTTATTTATGGAAAAATGTCTGGTAAATATTATGAGAATGATTCTATCATCATTTGCTTTCATTTTATTCAATGTAATATTGATTCACTGACAACTCATAGTAAGGTTGTTAGGAAAAACAGAAAACAAGGTTGTTTCACAGCTGATGTGGGTCTGTGTATCAAGGTAGAGGATGCGTCATTGCAGCCTTCTATTGACCACTCATCAATCATATTCAATTCATCTTATTTGTCATAAATCAGTAATTTTGTGCATGATGTAGGCAAGTCACAGCCAAAACATATATATTGAAAATAAACATAGGCCTATTACTAAACAGATTGACCAATGTATTTATATTGATAACATTTTTTAAATCCAAAATGCAGTCCTAATTTTTGTATTTATAGTAAAGTTTTAAATGTTAAAGATCTAATTTACCTGTAAAGTTAATTTCCATGTTAATGATATTTTTAAAACATGATTTATTTAAGTTTTTCAATTTAATTTTACAGGGCAAAACGGTGTTGATCCTTTATGCACGTATACACCTGGAGAACTTCAAGTGTGTGGAAATTGCCATGGAGAATTTGTTGTTGGCCCAGAATTAGAGTACCACCAGAGAACGTGCAAGAAGAAGCAAGTGGTTATGTTACTGGACCCATACATGGAGACAAATAAAGAAATAGAGGAAAACACCTCTACAACCACATCATTGGATGAAACAATGGACATCCCAAAATCTGATTTGGACAAAGATAAAGTGATACCACATTCAAATGTGTCATTGACCAATCTTGAGAACACAAGTGTTGCTGTTGCACAATATGTTCCAACACCGATAACATTGCCTAAAGCACATGATGTAAATGCTATTCAGGAACAACTTTATGCGCTGCAGCAGCAACATGTTCAACAGTTGCAACTTATTCAACAGATACAGCAACAGATACAAACTTTGGCAGCAAATCAACAAAAAATTAATAATTCTGTACCTGTAACATCACAGGAATTTACTCGACCAATGCCAACAATTTTACCTGGGTCTCATCCCACCCAGATACCTATTCATATGCTTTCACCACCAAGCAGTACACCAAATACTGTGCACCACCCTCCAAATTTTGAAACCTCACATCTTCCACGTATGCCAGGACCGCATAGTAACATTCTGCCACCAACATCTTTTGCACTTCCTCAGAGACCTCCATTTGAGATTTTACAAGCACAAGCAGCCATGCCTACTGGTAGTATACCTCAGTCACCGCTCTATGCTGCTAGTATGCTGATGCACCGCAAAGGAAAACCACCTAATGTGTCTGTTTTTGACCACAAGTTTACAAGTGATGATCCATTCTTTCGACACAAATGCCATTGGTGTCACAAAGTCTTTGGCAGTGATAGTGCTCTCCAGATACATGTACGCTCTCATACTGGTGAACGTCCTTTCAAGTGCAACATCTGTGGGAATCGTTTTACTACAAAGGGTAATTTGAAAGTTCACTTTCAGCGACACAAAGTTCGCTACCCAGATGCCGAGATGGATTGTACTCCTTATCCTCCTTCTCCACCACCATCACAGGAAAATGAGCAAGCTCCTTTCCAGTCTGCAGAAAATCAATCAAGCCCTTCAGAAACTCCAAATGGTGTCAACAAGTTTTCCAGTTTGCCAATGGAGTCCAGCAGCCCACAAGACCAATCATTAAGTCCTGGTTTAAGTCAGAGTGAAACAGATACACATCCTGGAGAGATGCACCATTGCAAACCAGTTGATACTGAAGAAAGAAGTGCAACTAAGTCTGATCTTGAATCTCCTACACCTACACCAACACCATCAGTTTTGTCAGAAGAGCAGAGTGCACCATCACCAGGTATTTCAGAAAAAATGCCATACATGAATGGACTGCCTCCAACATCAGTACCCTGTATACCAATGCCATTTAGTGCTGTACCAATGAACTCCCCATTTGCTCCATTATATATGCAGATGGATAGTGTTCCCCCTTCTCTTAAAAGCTTAACAGAACAAAATATACGTGCATCGGAGACCTCAAAGTTGCAACAACTTGTTGAAAACATTGAGCAAAAAATAACTGATCCTAATCAGTGTGTTATCTGCCACCGTGTTTTGAGCTGCAAAAGTGCCCTACATATGCACTACCGAATCCACACTGGTGAAAGACCATATAAATGCAACATCTGTAGCCGAGCATTCACTAGCAAAGGAAATCTGAAGACTCATTATGGTGTGCACAGAGCTAAGCCACCATCAGACCTGTTTCATGAATGTTCTGTATGTGGAAAGAGTTTTGGAAGTGCTAGCATCCTTCAAAAGCACATGCAGAATCACCCAGACGCTGCTGACATTCCCCAGGATCTAACACTGTACCAATCCAAAGATGAATTTCAGGATGAAGGAATGATCACAGAAGTTCAATCCAACCCAGAACACTTTTCAGAAATGGATACTGAAACCATGGAAAATGAACGGCCAGCTAGTGAACCTTTAGTTCAAGAGCATAGAATGATAGATTATTCAGAAGGTACCCAAAATGGAATTGCTGATCTAAATGACATCAGAGATGAGATAAATCAAGAATCTGATATGAGCACTGAAGCAGAAGAGCAACTTGAAGAAAAAGAAATGTCTTCTCCAACTCCATCAACTCCTTTAACTCCTCCAATACAGGATGACCTTAATGATGAGAGCCAGACTGATTGCAATGGCGCTCTTGATTTAACACCTAAGCCACAGTTTAATGAGACTCCTGCAGCAAGTGAAGCTGCTTCTAGTACACCATCATCTCCTGGTAGTCAATCCATTAATATTGGCTCAGCATTTACTGAAAAACAAATTGCTGACATATACTTGGCTGGACCTGGAAGGCGAGCATCTGGTGCCAATACAACATGTGGTGCCTGCGGAAAGGTTTTTGCCTGCTCCAGCGCATTAAACATTCACATGAGAAGCCATACCAAAGAGCGCCCTTTTAGATGTGGCCTGTGTGAGAAAGGGTTCTCCACAAGAGGCAATCTTAAACAGCACATGCTCACTCATAAGATAAGGGATCTCCCATCACAAATCTTTGATGCTTCACATCAGCCATTGTATGGGGAATCAAGAATGATGTCAAAAGAGTTAATCAGAATGACTGAGCCAGTAATGATAACAGGCCCAATACAAGCCCTTCAAGCTCAACAAGCCTTACATGCACAACATGCTTTCCAAGCTCAGCAAGCACTACAGGCACAACAACAGCAGGCCTGGACTCGATCACCCTCTCCAGACAGCCAACAGCAGGCCAGCCAGCAGATTCCCACCTCCATATCCCAGCCCCTTGCTGAGGATAACTCCGGAAAGCGTACACTGAGTAATGGTAGTGCAAACAGTGAGAGTCCACCAAAGCGTCCAGCTTACAAGCATGCATGTAACACTTGTGGGAAACAGTTCCAATCAGATAGTGCACTCCAAATTCATATACGTACACACACTGGTGAGAAACCCTTTAAATGTCATATCTGTGGCAGAGCATTTACAACCAAAGGAAACCTTAAGGTGCACATGGGCACACATATGTGGAATGGCAGCACTTCACGTAGAGGGAGGCGTCTCTCACTCGATCCTCCAATGATTATGAGCCCTAAAGAAGGTGAAGTTTTCCGCAGTGATCTTATGAGCTTCCAACCTGCGTATGATGGTGCCTTCTTTCAGTATCCACCATTCATGAATGGAGTTGGTGTTCCTAAGCCAAATGAAATATCTGTCATCCAGAACCACAGCACGCAGGCTTACATTCCTCCCCAACTTTCAGGTGCGGTTGTCAAGTCGGAAGCTGACATTCAACGCCTTCAGAACCACTCAACACAAGCCTACATTCCGACGCAGCACACTGGTGGTGTTATGAAACCAGATTCTGAAATCCAACCACAAATTCTCTCATCCAATGCCTCATAACATCAATACTGTCCTTCTGTGATTGAGAAGGACTGCTTGTTGCTAAGACTGTTGGTGCTGTTAAAATCAGTTACCTAATGTTACCTAATATTGCTGTGATTGAATACAGTGTAACATACTTCTCCTCTCAGCCTTCATTATCCCAATGGTGCTTAATATTATTATATTTGCTTTTTTGAGTGCTTCCATTGGTTAATCTGCTTGTGCGTTATAAAGTTAATTTATTTTTTAATAAGCAAGAGATCTGTATGACTGGAATTCTGTTTTGATGTGGATTACACCTTTGTAGACTTGATAAGTAATCAAGTTATGATTGTATACATGAATAATAATCCCATTCTCCAATTATTATACCAAAAAAAAATTAATTTGTGACCACTCAGAAGCAATGAAACCCCACCAAAGTTCAAGCAATATTAAGCTGTCACTTTCTATTTGGACCTTAAGAATAAAAAAATATTAAAGTTTTTCTTTTATCTATTTTAACTATGCAACAAGTTTTTGTTACGAAAGCAGATTTTAAATTCATATTTTGTTTTTACATTGTCTTTAGTTTTTATATGATCCAAATTTGTTGATGAATGTACTTAAATATTAGATATAGTTTCAGTTGGACACTTCAACTATTTTTAGAAAATGAGTATATGCCCAGCTCAGGAAGTTGTAAACGGGCTTTGTTTACTTAATTTTTGTTGTATGTTTTAGTATAGTTAAGTCCATCCATTAAACAAATTAAAGTAAAACAAGTAAAACCTACACACCAAATGTAAATTATTCTAGTAGATAAGAAAGCAGTCCTACGTTCATGGCATGTCCATGCATTTTAGTAGTTAATTTTGTGGGAATACGGTCATCCCGTTTCATCTACAAAACTACTTGTAACGTACCATGAGGGTCAAAATATTTATTTGTATAATCCTATTTAATAAGATTTAAAATTTACAGCTCTCTTACTTATGTGAGCTTCTTTCTGTTCTAGTTTGCATGGTGTTTAGTGCAGAGTGTGTATATGTGTGCACTACACTAGCCATTTAATTTTTTTTATTACGCTGAAAAATACCTCAGGGACTTAACCTAACGTCGTGAGTGCATTTCTATACTGTATAAGCAAAATCATATTACGAGCGTGTACTTCATCGTATTCGATAGGTGGCGCTGATGTACAAAGTCTGTTTGTTGTCTAAAACTTGTAGCAGTTAAACTTTCGTGGTAGGTGTATAGGTTATTCAAAGTCATGTTTGGTATGATTATTGTCTTTCAAGTTTCATACATGTACTGTATCCCTCATTGAGATCGGTAGTATTTGTTGATTAACTAAACATCTTCCTCTGAATATGTCTATGTAAAATTCACTGCATTAATTAACTACACGATTAGAGAATTGCATTCTAATCGTGTAAGTAGAAATTTAATAACAAGAAGTTTATATGAACGATTACTTGGTGAAAATCGCATTTGATTACAGTATTCTTGTTCTTAAAAACAAGCAGATAATTATTTGTCTGTTTATCATATCAAGTTGTGATTCGCGTTGATTGTGATCCCTTCCGATAATGATTAACTGACAAGCTACCCAATAAAAGTGCAGGCCACCTTCCGTCTGCGTACCACCAAACTCATAAAAGTCGGCAGAATCAAAGACAACCGTGACGATCGAGGAAACGCGGCTATTAATTCAATTTAATATCAACTTCTTCAAAACATAAACCATAACGCTTTCAAAGTTATGATCATCTTGAATGGGGTTGATCATTTATTTTTTTGATTCGTTTTGCTTTTAACGCCGCCATAAACACGCATCTGTTAGTCATAACTCGCCAGCATAAAAAACCCATAAAATACTTGAAAGCGTCATGGCGACTTAAGATTGCCTTCCGAATTTCATAAATGATTAAAGATCACTCCTAAATCATAGTGCACTGCTTATAATACAGTACTCTGTCTGTATAACACTTGGTTTTGTGTTTGTAGGCCTATGTTGAATGTAATATTCTTGTGTACCCTATTTACAATATACCTACACACACATGGTCATGTGTACATAGCCTACTGTAGTTTTTAAGTACCATGCAAACACATTTAGTTATACATGAAGATATGTTAATATGCATTATCTGCTCACCTTTTTGTATGTACGTACACTACTTATATGGTATCGATATTTACATAGTATACTGTGTTAATGCACTTGGTGGATAACTGTGTTCATGTACCTACCAAATTCGACAACAAAATATCATAGCCCTAATATATTCTCTAATTTGTTTGTATAACGATGATTGGGTTATTGAAATCAGATACATTAGTGGTTGGCGACATTACTGTGGTACAATTGAAACTAGAAACGGCTGTTAGTTTATGTATGGAGGAATTAGTTTCTAAACTAATTCCTCCATGGTTTATGTATTAATTGTATGAATTGAAGCATATCATAAATGATTACATTAGAGATGCATGTCACTAGACCAAGAATGGAAAAATAAGCTCGCCTTTAATTCTTCCTTTATTTTAACCTAAAACACAGTAGTTGAAAACTACTGTGTCGTGTTACTTTCTTAACTAAATTTCATTTACTGTACTCGATGCTATAGCCTATACGTGTACCATGTACTGTATACTGTTTTGTGAAAATAGAGCATTGTAAATACTTCACAGTGCTTGCTGACATTGGGCCGTACCGTCGTTTAAGTACATCATCCCTGCTCATACAGTTAAAACGTTATTAATTCAAATTTGAATAACTTTATTTTCTGACCTTACATTGATAGTTTTTTGTTGAAATTGGTAGATATTATATTTGTATTCTCTGTAAATAAGATACATTCTCACTTTTGTGACATTTCGACTGTTATTATACGTTGCCACGTAATTCTTGAAAGTTCTCGACATTGTACGGCATTGTACAAGGGGGGAGTTCAAATAGCTACTTATATAATTATATATGATATATATATATACATGTGAATTTCTGCCGTGTTAAATAGGCTGTAATTTTGTTGTTGTAAACCAAAGAGTAAAATGTCGGTCATACTTTATTTTATGGAAGAAGCTTTTTAAATCTGTATGTACGTGGGCCTATACAGTATAGGCTGCTAACTGGAACAACCACTAGCCCCTATGACTTAGATTCGTATTGGTGTAGGCCTCTTACGATTGTCTTTCAGTCGTCTGCTTTCATCATTTTAACGGACGTTGCTTTCATCTTGAATTTCCAATACGACGTCTTTCTTGGTTTTTCCTATCCAAAAATAGTTTAATTTCCCCAGCGCTTTCATATTATATTTGAATTTTTATTTCTGTGGTGCTCCCAATATTTTATTATTTCCACCTTGATTTAAAATGGATGCAACCAGTTGAACCAAAGTGTAATATTATGACCAGAGGGTGCTTGTAAGAATGTTCCATTTATGTCCTGACAAAACAAATGCAGAAACCAGAAATGTTTTATTCTCAGTATTACCACATAAATTTATGTCTGGAAAGATGCGTTATTGTGTAATAAAGAAAGATGTTGGTCAGTGGAGAACTATTTTTGTATGCAAACGTTTCTGTTTCTGGCGCCAGATCGTCTGGGCATCCTCTGGATGAGGTTGTTTACTTAAGTTGTCGCGAAGGCCAGAAAATCTATAGATAAATGTGTCGTTAGTGTAGTATTTAAATTTTTTAGTTGATTAATTGTTGTGATAGATTGGAAAACTAATTTTGTTTTTAGATTATTCCATTACTGCAACACATTTGAATATTTGTTGTAGTGTGTGAGAATGAAAATTGTCTAGTTTCTTTTGTCTCTTAACGAATTCTCTGTTTAACTAATAAAAGATGAAAATGTTAACCAAATAATTGCGGTTTTTCGCTTTATTTTGTATCATTTGTACTGTGTGCAAGAGTCGATAGTGTGGAAAATATTATACTTTGTGCATGTCAAAGGATTAAGTGTTCAATTGGAAGTGCTCATTTTGATTCTTCATTACTCCGTTAGCTACATACCTTAGCTTGAACATAGAGGTATTCGCGTTTATTGATACTTTACTTACAGACCGATCCAGGAATTGGAAATAGAGGGGGCTCGAGGAAAGAAGTTTACAGATGGAGGCTCCAGACTTTTTTCCATACAACTGAATAGGAACATTTCGTTGAAGGGCTGTGCTTGATACGATTATAAAATCATGTTGAGCACTGCTATTTATCTATTTGTTTATACAGTATTATATTGTTCACGGTGCTACTCAGAAACCTTACTGGAATACTGTAGGCCCTATATATCCTGTATCCGTAAAATACAGTTTAACAACCAAATTTGTTAAGCGCCCCCACCCTCCCCTGCTTTTACTGTACTATGACCTCATCACTTGCAAAATGCTTCCGACGGCTATATAAAAAAATAAAAAAATATATATAAAAATTAAATTATAAACATATGTAAAAATATATAATAAATTATTATTTTATATATGCAAGTGTGTAAAATAACAGATGCTCGAACCCGGGACCTTCTGTTTTCTATGCAGGCGCCTTAACCAACTAGCCCTTGTGTTGGAAATTCAAATCCGATTAAAGCATTATTAGGTAGCACTAGTCTTTGATGCATGGCAGGCAGCAGAAATCAATATGATACCCCCTCTTTCACGA